GTGCTGCTTGTCTGCTCACCTCAAAAGGCTGTCAGTCATCACTTAGGACCAAGGCACAGTCTGGTCTGCTCCAGAGGGCATCGGGCAGGGTCTGTGCTCAGCAAGTCACAGCTATTTTTTTCTTTATATATTTTTATTTAGCTCATCTCTGATATTTAAATATATATATATATTATTTGAAAAATTTGCATAATATATTTTGATCACAGTCACTCAAGCTCCTCCCCCTTAACACCTCCCAGCTCTTCCCCCACCTCTAACCCTACATCATAAACTCCTGGTCATGGGACTATCCACTGGAGTGTAGTTGACCTACCAGGATCCACATCTTAAAACAATAACCTAACTCCACCTGCCCCAGAAGCTATTAACTGTCCATAGCTCCTCAGTTAGGCACAGGGATTCATTAGACACAGGGATGCAAGTATGGATCGGCTAGGGTGGCCAGCCCAGACCGAAGACAATGCCTACAGCATCTTTAGCTAGAACGAAGAATTTCAAGCCAATACCTATACGTTTCTTGTCACTATGACCACATTCTAAACAGCTTATTTTGGGTCATGGCATCAGGACCACCGTCCATCATAGGAGGGTGCACCTTGGCTGGAGAGGGTCTGTCCCTGGTCCTTAAGGGAGCTCCCAGCATGGCTATGTTACATCACAACAGCCTAGCAGAGAGCTAGGCTGGGGGACTGAACACCCTCTGGGACCTGCCTATCCAGCCTGACATCCACCGGCTAAGCTCACAGCCAGCAGGTTACACCATCTCCCCCAAGCAGAGAGACCAGCTGAGCAACAGGTGCTCAAATCAGGACCCTGGGGAGGAAAGTTTACAAACTGTAACAGGGTGGCCAGGTCATGTTGGTGTTTGTGAGGGTTCCCCGGGGTGCAATTGAAAACCAGCCTTCAGTGTTGAAGGTGGAGGAAGGGAAGACAGCTCTGAGCAGACAGGACCTGGGAAGACCAGATAAGTGGGGTCCGGAGAAAGAGGAAGTAGGTGGTCGCTGAAAATCTCCCTGCTGGCAAGGCACACCCTCTCCAGGGATTTCACTTTACCAGCTGCCATCTCTGTGCGGCTGGACTTGATCACTGCTAGCAGAACATCCTCCAGTTCCACTGGGATTTATTTCAAAATCTCTTCCCAGTAATGCAAATCCAACAACCAGGAAGCCATTTACTATGGAGGAAAGCCTTGGCTTAGGATGGAGAGCGTGTACTTGGGACCAGGAATGGAGTGTGCAGGCTTTATTGGGTCCACATGCCATGTAATTGCAAACATCAACTTTCTGATAATGAGGGAAGGCCATAAGGAGTTTAAAGACATCCAGGGGAATGACTAAACTCCTTACCCCAAAACATATGTCGTGATTTCCACTGTACGTTATGCTATAGATGAGTCAGCCTGAGAGAGCTAAATTTAGGCTTTTTACAGACCCCTCCTTTCAGGATGTCAGAGCTTCTCCTTAACTACAGGAAAGAGGAAAATGATGATACAGTTGGGATCCAGTATCTTTAAGACTAAGATGGCCACCACACTAGAGTTACAGAGAACTCCAGGGTACACCCATCAGTGAGACAAACAGGCTGGAACATAGCAGGCAGTGAGAAGAGACTCAGTCACGCACGAGAAGACTGGCTAACTTGAAGGGAATGTTTAAGGACAGAACACCCAGAGTCTTGGTGTTTCTGCATCTTAGTTAGGGGTTCTGTATCTGTGGGGGTGGGAGAAGGAAGGGCTTATTTCCTCTTGCAGCTTGTAGCCCATCACCCAGAGAGTCAGAGCAGTAAGTCGAGGCAGAAGCTGATGCAGGGGCCATGGGTGAGTACTGCTTACTGGATGGCCCCTCACAGCTCGCTCAGTCTGCTTTCCTATAGCACGCATGACTACCAGGGGTGGCACTGCCTACGGTGAGCTGGGCCCTCCCACATCGATCATCAAAGGAGAAAATGTATCACGGGCTTGCCCACAGGCCAATCTTGTGGGGGCATTTCCCCCGTTGAGGTCCCTTCATCCCACAGATGACGCTCGCTGTATCAAGTTGACATACAACTAGCCAACACTCTGTGTTCTGCTGGGTGTCTGACCTCCAGACCAGGAAGAAGGGGACAGCGATGCAAATGAGGTCTGAAGGAACTCAGAGCCAGCAAAGCAAGGAGGAATAAGTTAAGGGTGTGGCTGCAACAAGCAGGGGGGTTGGACACAAAGCAGAAGAGCTGGCCTTAGAAGTGAAGCCAAGTCTAAGTGGCAGAGCAGGCTCCTGCAGGCCAAGGTTGAAGCTTCCTGAGTCTGTGCTGAACTGTCACAGCCTGCTGAGGCCCACTGGTCCAGGCAGCTGACGCTCTGCATGTTCGTGTGAGCAAGTGTTACCATGACAGGTTCTTCTTGGCCATTGTCTTCTCTGTGCTATGGGACACTCAGTCTCCCCACTGGCCCACACATGCTATTTCTCAGAGTCTCTACATGAACTCCGATGGGCTAGATACCCTAAATAAAAGACAGTGCCTTACTTTAATTGTTATGAACACAGGCTTGTGTGGCTGGAGAATCCTGTTGCCACTCCATCAAAGCACACCTTTCTGTGTGGGCACAGCGCGGTAGGAAGGGTGGGATGGTTTAGCCGACTGCGCTATGACATCTGCAGGCTCCCCCTCAGGTGCTAGCCAAGCAGCTGCAGTACGCAAAAGAGCATGAGTGAATATATGAAATGGGGGATGAATGCATTTAATAAATTAAATGGAGACTTTCTGGGTTGGCCCCGCAGATGAAAGCCACGGAAACCACTAGATGACGATGTCATCTGTGTTTCCTAGCACGGGAAAAAGTGTGTTGTGTGCTCGAGACTCAATGGATTAAGGCATCAGGTGTGTTGTGCTGCGATTTATAAGGTTGTTATTCCACGTTGATGAGTAGTCACAGGTACAGAAGTGGGGCTAGAGGAGTAGGGGGTGGTCCAGTGGGCAGAGTCCTTGCTACACAACAACATGAGGACCTGCATTTGGGTTCCCAGAACCCACATAAATCAGACTTGGCAATCCCAGCATTCCAAAGGAGAGAGAGGAATCCCGAGGCTCCTAGGCCAGCTAACCCAGGTGTGTGAGCAGCACAGGGACTTCACCTCAAACAAGTACAGTGAGGGCTCATACCTGAGGTTGCTTCTGACTTCCACATGTCCACCTGGGTGCACACGTGCCCATCCATACACACACATGACCATACACACACATGCCTATACATACACACATATGCCCACACACATGCATATACATACACACATATGTCCACACACATACGTGCCTATACATACACACATATGCCCATACACACATGCATATACATACACACATGCCTGTTCACATACACATATATCCATCCACACACACATGCCTATACATATGCACATATACCCATATACACACATGCCTATACATACACACTTGTCTGTTCTCACACACACATGTCCATCCACACACATACATGCCCATCCACATACATGCCTATGCATGCACACATATGCCCATTCACACACACACACACACACATGTCCATATACACACATGCCTATACATGCACACATATACCCACTTATGCATGCACATACATGTCATACACATGCCTATACACACATCCACACACACATATACAAGTCCATGCACACACATACCCATACACACATACATGTATATGTACACACATATGCCTTCATACACACACATGTCCATACATACACACACGTACATGTCCATCTACACATATGCCCATCCATCTACACACACACAAGCCCATACATTTACAAACACACACTTGCCCATACAAACACACACGCCCACACACATATTGAAAGCTATTCCCTCATGTAACTCCTGTCCGAGCATGGAGTTACGAGCGCAGTTTTCCTAGACCCTCTTCCGTGCTTTCTGGAGAGAATGTCTGAGTCCCACAAACAGACACACAGTCCAGAGAGAAGTAAAATCGACATCACTGCCCGAATCAGGAACTGAGGAAACCCAAGTTCGTCTGAAGAAACAGGAGAGAACTCTCAGAAAGGAGCCGTTTTTCAGTAGCTCTGACGTCTGTTTAATTAGGACAAATTCAGTCTCGTGGGTGGATCAGTTTGACTCTTGGACTCAGTGGGTTATAACCTGCATCCAGTGGAAACAAAATGTGTTCAGCTCAAAATAGATGAGGTTAGAAAACCATCAAACAAAGACGATGACAACCCAAAAGTCCCAAAGGAACCGAGAAGTAAGACAAAAGAAGATGCATAAAATCTATCTAGTTTTTTGAAAACTAAATGACTACAATAATATCAGCTCTAAAAATGCAAAGAGAGAGAGAGAGAGAGGGAGAGAGAGAGAGAGAGAGAGAGAGAGAGAGAGAGAGAGTTCCA